AGTTGTGGGACAAATGTATGTCTCACCGTTGAAATGTGCTTTGACGACAAATTATGGTGAAGAGGCCATTGCGTAGAATTGTTTTAAGGTTTGAAGGTTGGAATGTTTGAGGTTTATTGATTGTATGAAGGTATGAATGCTGTAATGTTTGAAGGTTGGAATGTATGAATTTGATGACTGATTCGAAGGTTGGAATGCTTGATTGTTTGCAGGTTTGAAGGTTTGGTTGTAAGAACGTTTGAAGGTTGGAAGATTTGACAGATTATGTGAATCAATGTTATGATAAACGTAAGGCTAAAAATTTCAATTAAGTAAGGATGCAACCCCCCAAGGCTGCCAATAATATTACATGCAATAATGAAACCCCATAGGCTGCCACCTAGCCTGGCCCTATTCTGCACATATACATGTATTTTGTAGGACTCCTCCCATCAACTCCAATGGGCTTACATGCAATAATGAAAGGAATCCCCCAAGGCTGTCACGTAGCCTGAGCCTAGACTGTAACAAAGGACACCTCTTATTCGCCAATTGGGGTGGCGACACCATTCATTTTTGTACTCTTTCGCCAAGTCCAATGGCGCCTCCCTTATTGTCCAATCGTGATACATGCATGGGCTTATGTAACCCCATAGGCTGCCACCTAGCCTGGCCCTATTCTGCACATATACATTTATTTTGTAAGACTCCTCCCATCAACTCCAATGGGCTTACATGCAATAATGAAAGGAATCCCAAAGGCTGTCACGTAGCCTGAGCCTAGGCTGTAACAAAGGACACCTCTTATTCGCCAATTGGGGTGGCGACACCATTAATTTTTGTACTCTTTCGCCAAGTCCAATGGCGCCTCCCTTACTGTCCAATCGTGATACATGCATGGGCTTATGTAACCCCATAGGCTGCCACCTAGCCTGGCCATATTCTGCACATATACATTTATTTTGTAAGACTCCTCCCATCAACTCCAATGGGCTTACATGCAATAATGAAAGGAATCCCAAAGGCTGTCACGTAGCCTGAGCCTAGGCTGTAACAAAGGACACCTCTTATTCGCCAATTGGGGTGGCGACACCATTCATTTTTGTACTCTTTCGCCAAGTCCAATGGCGCCTCCCTTACTTTCCAATCGTGATACATGCATGGGCTGCCACCTAGCCTGCAAGAGTGACACCTTTCATTTTTTGTACATGCATGCGTGCATATGTGTAACCCCCTAAGCATGTAAATGTGACACTTCGCAGGCATGCAAGCACAAGCAACCACTATATCAAACTTATTTGCCTATAAATACATACCATATCATACATCTCTCACACCCACACAAGTCTCACTCTCTGCTACGAAATATTTCATAAGTCTATCATACTCTCTATCGCTTCCTAAGTCTTTCATACTCTCAAGCATTTTAAACAATGGCTCTTCTAACAATGGGCGATACTCACAGAGGCACAAGGGAAAACATTGCTGCATTTGTAAGTTTTTTCTTTGGTTATACATTTTTCATACTTCAAATAACGCGTTGTTCATCTTAATTAATCTTACACCTGTTAAATTATGAACTCAGGACACAAAAAGATTCAGAATCCGTTCGCACAACTACCTGGCTCTCGACCCATTTATCGTCCCATATCTGGAATACGCATGTTTTGGACATGTCATAAAGATCTCCAACTGCACCATTGACTCGAAGTTCATTCTTGCAATGTTGGAAAGGTGGAGACCGGAGACCCATACATTTCACCTACCAATAGGTGAATGTACCATCACGCTAGAGGATGTGTACATGCTACTAGGTCTCCCTGTCGACGGTAAGGCCGTGAACGGGTCGGTTCAACAACCCAACTCTCAGTGTGAAGAACTGTTGGGTAGGGATATTGTAGAAGGTGGTGGTGCAAGAGGGCATGGAATACTACTCACTGAGCTGAAACGTCATTATGCAAGTTTGGAATTAAATGAAAATTCCTCAGAGAATGACAGGGTAGTAAAAGCCAGAACGTAACTTATGATACTTTTTGGTATATTTTTATTTCTCGAAAGTACGGGAAATAGTGTAAATTTTATGTACTTACATTTACTAACAAATTTTGAAAAAACAAGAAAATATAGTTGGGGTCACTACAAGAAAATTAGTGTTTAACGACACAAAAATTGCGACAGTTATGTGATAACTGTCGTAATTGACATATAGAGACAGTGTTTACGACAGTTGACACCAACCGTCCCTAATATTTATTTTGCGACGGTATATTTAACCATCATAATATTATTATTACGACGGTAAAACAACCGTCGGCCCCCATTTAACACTTTTAACATTGATTTTTCACCAACAACTAGTCACGACGGTAAAATTAACCGTCCTAAAAGGCATATCACGACGGTAAAGCACCCGTCGCACCCTTAAACCTTTCACGACGGTAAAATTATCCGTCCTAAAATTCATTTCACGACGGTAAAACAACCGTCGCACCCAAAACCTTTAAAAATTCTCATGGGCACGACGGTAAAACACCCGTCGCAGTAAAAAAGTTAAAAAGCTCATAAAACATCGATTAGAATGTTTCTTTAACAGTATATTGGAATTCCTTGAACAAGTTCTGTTTCCGCGGCATCCTCGACGAATCAATCGGCGATGGAACCCATTTCCTCATCCCATGGGTTCAAAAACCCTACATCTTCGATATCAAAACCCGCCCCCATACTTTCTCATCAATATCCGGCACCAAAGATCTTCAAATGGTTAACCTAACTCTCCGAGTCCTCTCTCGTCCCGACACCGCGAAACTCCCTGTCATCGTTCAAAACCTCGGTCTCGAATACGACGAGAAAGTCCTCCCTTCGATCGGTAACGAAGTTCTGAAATATGTTGTGGCGCAATTCAATGCTGATCAGCTCCTTACTGAACGTCCTCAGGTTTCTGCCCTTGTTAAGGAGACTCTTGTCCGACGTGCTAGGGATTTTAACATCCTTCTCGACGATGTGGCGATCACACATTTGTCTTATGGTGCTAATGCTTTTTCTTTGTTTTTAATTATAAAAATGAATTTCTAACACTTAATCACTGCGAAATGCTGCTATTTTTTCTGCAACCCCACACCCATTAAGAAAGTATTTTTCTGTATTTGCAAGATTGTTTTCCTAAACACACACTCCTTTCAGTAGGTCTTACTCTAAGAGGTTTGTCTTGAAATGAGAATCCGCATGCATTTCGTGACATTGCTCTCCACCCTGCTTCTAGATGTGATCCAAGCGGGCTTAAGTGTTTGAAGTTCATATAATGAGATCTTCACCTTAGTTTGGATTTTGAGCCTAATTCCAATAGCTTCAATTTAGTGCATTGACCGCATGGTTTTATGACTGCAGTAAATGCATTTCACGTTGTCGTTGTCATGGCTACAGTCCACTAATATAGACTCAGCTCTGGTTATTTAGTACCATATGGGCTAAAAAGAACGGCAACTCATTGTCGTTTGATGAAGACACTTAGCATTCAAACCTAATCAAATTAGATTCACATTGAAACGAGAATTCCATCAAGTATCGTTTAGGATAGTCAGGATGACAGTGTTCAAATTGTTGTGTTGCACTTGCACATGCTTTATATGATAACACCTAGGCCTAGCCTAACCTTAGATGGTTGGAAACTTATGCTTGAGCCTTGACTTCTATTGTTCTCACCTTGATGGCCAACTATAAAGAAAAATCTCCGCCTACAACACGCTGGAACAAGGTACCACATTGCTTGTATCTGTCAAGTATCTGCCTGCAATGTTTACCTTCAATTTTAAGAGGTAATCACTTTTATTTGCATCAACATCTTTTCTACAATGCTTGGAAATCTTGAGATACAATATATCTTGAACAGATGCTGAGTACTTTTAGTACATGATGCATAATTTTTCTTCTCCTGTTATTGATATTCTGGTATGAATGACATTTCATTCTTCGATTGGTATGGTGCTGTTATAACAAATGTGCAATTTATACCCAGCAGATCACAGTTCCATATAAATATTTTTCAACAGCTGCAGGCTATAATATCTCCCGCAATACTGCCACGATCTTTTAGTATATCAACCTTAATTTTGTCTCTTGCATTTTGATTTTGAATGCACTATCTTACTAGCACTCTCGGCATCAAATCCAAAACTTTGATATTGTATGTTACATGATTTTAGGAGATTCACGGTCTTACATATAAGTCAACAAATTTTAGCTTGTGATCATGATATACAAGTAGATGAGATTGTTGAACACAGTTATCTGTTTTTGAAAGTGCAACTTCATCTTTCTACTATGCCTCCTCATAGTGGAATACTTCATGGAACCATGATTGGTTTGTGTCATACCGCACCCTTTATTAGAGCTTTGGTCATTCCTTTTTTTCCTTTTCCATCTAACAGATCAGTTCATATCTTGTGGCAAGTCAAGAGGTGTAGCTCATGAACTTGTGTCTAGGATTTGGCTTGCTGTTCTTGATAATTTGGAAGAATTTTCGCGAGCCGTTGAGCAGAAGCAGGTTGCTCAATAGGAAGCTGAGAGATCTAAATTTGTAGTCATGAAGGCGGAGCAGGAGCGTTGGGCTGCAGTTATTCGAGCTGAAGGAGAGAGTGACGCTGCTATATTGATTTCTGAGGCTACTGCTGCGGCTGGGATGGGGTTGGTTGAGCTTAGGAGGATTGAAGCTTCCAGGGAAGTTGCTGGAACGCTTGAGAAATCGCCTAATGTTACTTATCTTCCTGGTGGAAACAACATGATGATGGCTCTTAATCTTGTTGGTTGATTATCACGGTAATCATCTTTTCCTCACTTTTCAAATTTTTATTTATTTATTTATTGAGTTTGGTTTTTCATTGCGGTTATAGTCATGAATTGAGGCACACTGCAGTCCATATATCAAAAACCTTGCTGTCACAATTGAAATTGCAGTGGCAGGTGGCAGACCTTTTTAAAACCCTAGTTCCCACCACTATGGTTACAAGCAAGAACTAAGAAGAGAAATGGTTTTTATTCTTTCCAAGTTTCGACATCTTGATCTAAATTTCCTCACTATGAAAATAACTTTTTTTCTTCTTCTTGTATTTTGCAGACTATGTTTAAAACTCTTGCGATATCATTTTCAACAATGACACTTTTCACTGGAATCACACCTTTGTATGGTTCTAGCCTTCAATATGCAGGCCCTGCGAGTCTCGTCTGGGGATGGGTAGTTGTTTGTTTCTTCACTTGGTTTGTTGGGATTGCTATGGCTGAGATATGTTCATCTTTCCCGGTTTGTCTCTTCTCATAAAGTTTATGCATGTACCAGTGAATTAGTGAATAATTTACATAACTAATTTTCAATTTTGATTCAATCTATAACAGGCAACTGGTTCTCTGTACTTTTGGGCTGCACATTTAGCCGGTCCAAAATGGGGACCATTTTCTTCATGGTGCTGTGCTTGGCTTGAAACCATAGGTCTTATTGCTGGGATAGGGACTCAGGTAAAAGGACTAATTCGGTTAAACTTCGACTCGGTGTTTTCATAGAATGTGTGCATCGTAACTCATACTTTTGATGGTTGGAATTCGGAAAGGCGTATGCAGGATCACAAACATTGCAGAGTATAATCCTACTCTCGATAGGCACGAATAAAGGCGGAGGGTACTTTGCCCCGAAATGGCTATTCTTATGTATGTACATTGGCCTCACTGTTATTTGGGCAGCATTGAACACATTTACGTTAGAAGTTATCGCCTTCATCGATATAATTTCAATATGGTGGCAGGTACTTTTGCTTCTTTATCTAACTATTCCAACTTACTGATTACAGTGAATGCGTTGTATCTTGACTCTAAAATGTACATCACAATTTACTCATAATCATTTTTACTGTGACAGGTTATTGGTGGAGCAGTGATAGTTATAATGTTATCTCTAGTGGCACTAACTACACAATCAGCTTCATATGTATTCACAAACTTTGAATTAGCACCTAATACAACAGGAATATCAAGCAAACTGTATGCGGTGATTCTATCGTTTCTTGTGAGCCAATATTCCCTCTATGGATACGATGCTGCAGCGCATCTAACCGAAGAAACTAAAGGCGCAGACAAGAACGGACCTATTGCAATACTAGGTAGTCTTGCCATCATTTCAGTATTTGGTTGGGCTTATATCTTGGCACTCACATTCAGCATTCAGGTATAAATAAATATAATCAACCAATTAACACTTCAGTTTTTGACAGAAGAGTGATAATTAACACCGGTTTCCATCTCTGATTCAGGATTTCGCTTATCTTTATGATCCAAACAATGAGACTGCTGGAGCATTTGTGCCAGCACAAATATTGTATGATGCATTCCATGGAAGATATCACAATTCTGCAGGAGCAATAGTTCTACTATTTATAATTTGGGGTTCTTTCTTCTTTGGTGGACTTTCAATCACCACAAGCGCTGCCAGAGTCGTAAGTACTACGACCCTACGAGCCTTTTTGATTTTGATTGATTTATTTGAGTTTATCTTAAACAATGTAATTTTCAGGTTTATGCACTGTCAAGAGATAAGGGAGTGCCGTTTTCATTCCTATGGCGAAAATTGCATCCAAAGCACAAGGTTCCTACAAATGCTGTATGGCTATGTGCAGCAATATGCATTCTTCTTGGTCTACCAATATTGAAGGTGAATGTGGTATTTACTGCAATAACTTCAATATGCACAATTGGTTGGGTTGGTGGTTATGCAGTTCCAATATTTGCAAGAATGGTAATGCCTGAGAAGAATTTCAAGGCTGGACCATTTTATTTGGGAAAGGCAAGAAGACCAATTTGTTACATTGCAATCCACACAATGTGTGTTCTTCGTATTTATGGTTGCCATTGGATATAGATATATAATCAATAGTTAATAAGTTACTTGAGTTTCAATTGTAGTTAAGTAGCAGGTGTTGAAGTTGTTGGTAAATGCCACAGTGATATTGGCGGTGTTCAGATTTATTCTGCCCTCTTGAAAGTTGATTGAACAAGTTGCATTGATGGATGCTAAAGAACCAATTTGAACTGATAGCATCTTGCTCTTTTTCGAAAATGCAGGATTGAAGAAGCTGAAGCACAGTGTGCTTTGTTGAACTCTGAATCATTATGCGTAAGCACTTGTCTACTTTGTAATTATCAGTTATTTTTGGGATACTAGTACTATTGCTGTTTGCTAATATCATGATTGTTGTCATTCATTGTTGAGAATTATAGGATGGATGTTTCAGTTCAGATTCAGATATATTTCTCTTTGGTGCAAGGACAGTGTACAGGGAAATCCGCCTTGGTGAGTATATCATTTGGTTTCGTTTTTAAATATTATTGTTGAATATATTTTTGTGCTAATTGTATTTTTCGTATAAGTTCTAAGGATTTTTTTGTACTTTCATATGACTTACAAGAATTTTTTTTTATTAATGAGTTAGGAGATGGTGGATATGTTGTATGTTATGAGATGGCAGAGATTGAAAATAAACTTGGATTGGGACGGGATTCATTGGTAAATTTCTGATTGATGTTTTAACATAAGAGTCACAATGCTTTCTTAGACGATCTTTCGTTGTTTCTTGTCAATTCAAAATTCAAGGGTATTGAGTTCTTGTTCTGGTGAAAATCAGTAACCGAGTAACCCATGATCTTCAGATTGCTCTCTCTTTGCTTCTCGGCAGTGACTATCATCAAGGAGTTCATGGTTTAGGTCCGGTAAGTCCTTAAACACATCCTTCATGATCATATTACTTTTTGCCTTTTCACCTCTTGTTGTTTAGCAGGGTTGAATATTTACATATTATATGGTTGCTTGTGCTTTTGCATGATTGTTTCCATGGTTGTATTGTAGGAGTTAGCTTGTCAGATAGTAAAATCAATTGGGGAGAAAGATGTTCTAAAAAAATTTGCTTCTGAAGGACTTGGATGGGTGAAAAAAAGAAAAGGTATATATACCCTTGTCATATCTATATTGCATTTTAGTTCCATTTTGCAACTTTTTTTAATCATTTTTTCTATCTTTTTTGTTTATGCAGGAGCTAAAAATAATATAGGAAAGGACGATACCATTTTACAAGTGATTGATGCTTATTTGAAGCCAAAATGCCACTCAGCTGATTCAGACTTTGTGCTCAAGTATGTTATTTAATTCATTGCTTCCAGTTCCTTTACTATACTCAATATTGATTGGAATTTAGAATATACTAATCAGAACCTACGAAAGCTATATGTTAATGGTAAAGTTTATCTGCTATAGTTCTGAATCTGGTTACTAATTAGATACGCACTTAAAATAAGAATTTGCAAAAATTTATGTAGGGCTCATTCTCAGTATCCATTTCAACGTACTAAGCTCCATCATATATGCGCTGTATACTTCGAATGGCCTTCGGAGAGAACAGGTACTTTATCTAATTTCAAATGCTTATTCTTGTAACTCAAGAATTTGTGCTCCGAGTCATGTCATCAGTCTTAGTCAAGAATTGGTATATGCTACCTCTTGGATGAAAATTTGGAAGTTGTTTGAAATGCTGATTGTTGGTTCATGAAATAGATGGATATATCCTTCCATGTATAGTCGAAAGGGATTTACGACGATTTGCCAATTTGCGATCAACTTCGTCTGAACTTGGGTTGAACCTTCCTTTACATGAGGTACTGCTAACTCTATTCCAATGGAAGACAGGTATATTAATTTGACGCATTTAAAGTTAAATTTTATGAGTATTATTTTAAAGATTATTATTTTAATACCTTTTTTTAGGGATTGGAATCACCCGCTGATGGTAGACGTTCATCTGAGTCTAGCTATCGTATTGGAGATAATGGAACTTCAGGGGGGACAAATTAGACTTTGCTATGATCGAGATAATTAGATTGTGAACTTTCTCATGTATTTTTGGCATAATGATACTTATTATTATAAGATTAGGAATTGATATATTTTGGGTTTTTTGTACTACTTGACATGATTATGGAACTCGCATTTTACATGATTATGGAACACACATTTTTTTGGATATTATAATGCTTATTTGATGTTAAATATTTTTTATTGAAATTATTTTTACTATATTACAAAGTGATAGAAAATAAAACAAAAAATAATACTATAAATAAATATATTAAAGAAGAAATAATTTAAAGAAAAAAATAACACAAAAAAAAACTATATTTAAAATTTTTTACATAGATAATAATTTAAATAAAAAATATATATAATAGAAAAATAAAAAAAAATCAAGACATAAACAAAAGTCATGGCGACAGTACCGAACCGTCGTAATCAACAAAAGTCATGACGGTATCGAACCGTCGCCATAAACAATTTAATCAATTTCAAAAGATATTCACGACAGTATCGAACCGTCGCCATCAATAATTAAAAGAAACTAAAAAGATAGTCACGACGGTATCAACCCGTCGTAAACTTGAACGACAGTTTTTGTAACCGTCGCGAAATAGGTTGGGGACACACACTTCTGCGACGGTAAAGCAACCGTCGTGGAAAGCAAATTGCGACGGTTTTAACCGTCGTAATCTACAAAAATACCTGTCGCAATCTGCCAATTTTCTTGTAGTGGGTTCTGCAGTATTAGCCCACCTATACAGTTCCTTGTGCAAAAACACAGTCAAGGAAAAATATACATTTTATGGGTGCGCTTTTTTACTACAAGCCTGGGGTTGGTGGAGGATGGAGTCCTTAAACCCCGTCAACAACAACACTTTCGGTTTCCCGTACGCAACAAAGTAAGTCATCAAGTTATAGCATTTATAACTATTCTGCTCTTCCCAAAATATATGCTAAGAATAAAATGTTTCTCATTTCCTTTAGGTACTGCGTGAGGGGTATGGATTACGACAAGAATCCAAGATTCAATGTCGCACTCTACCGCAACCTGTTGGATCACTTAGGCCCGGATGACGTACGTCGTAGCTTTTAACTTTTGTTCAACTAAATTATTTATACATTACTTTTGCATTAACTTGATTTACATTCTATCGCAGTTCGTCTGGAGACCATATTTGGGTTTGGGCCATGTTCCAAACCCGGAGGATGCAGCAACTTGGACCGCGAAGACTGCAATCATTCGGTTCAACATTGTGGAGATGCACCACAGCGACCGTGTGAAGATGCAATTCGGAATGCATCAAGAGATACCAAGTGATCCAACTTGTTTGTCCCCATGGCATCTTAAAAGGGTCGACGCCCAGTGGGGTCTTACCAACTAGAAAGACTTCGCTCCGGAATGGTGTAAGATGTGGCAGAGGCGTCACCGCTACGTCTTGCAATTCCTGGTTTTCCTTACTCAAGGTAATATGCGACACACGGATCAATATTTGTCGTGGTACAGGTCAGTTAGTAACCCAGAAATGCATGTGTCTCATCTAAGGTACTTGGTTGACCCACGCACACAATGGACACGACCCTCAATTCCCCATCAACAAACCCAAAACCCATCAACCTCCCACCAACCCCCAAGAAGAAACAGACCCACAAACACCCAACCACATTCCCCACCACAACACAACTACAATCAAATGCCACACAACCAACCACAATCACCACCAAACTACCAATACCCCGATATGCCTCAAACCCAACCACAATACCAACCCCAATACCAGCACACCCGCATACTCCACACACAATTTCAGTCTTCCACATATCCCAATATGGCGCCCTCAACATCCAGCCTTAGCCTTGATATGGGAATGTCGGAAGATTACGAACAAGCCGACCCAACCTACCATCACCCACAATATCACCAAACCACCCAACATCCTCAATACCAAACACCCCAAGATCCATTTCCTTTCTACCCCCCGTACTCAGACGACCAATGCTACAGACCAACCATGGAACCCCACCCACTGCCAACACGACCAAACTTTGAGGGTATGGGTAACCGTCTGTACCAGAGCGGATCTTCTAGATATGGAGATCTGACTGATTTTATGGATTCGGACCGCATTGACTTCGCTGGGCCATCGACCTTTCCGCAGCAGGAAACGCGACGACACCCAGCACGAGAAAGGAGAGGACGGGGATGCGGAACCGGGGGTCATTACCGGGTTCCGGGGGATCACTGATGTATCTTTTTTTTTTCTAGTATTTTTGTATCCATTTTTTTAATCTGTTTTTTTTACTGTTATTTTAATGTAATACAGTTGGATGTAATTTTTTTTTTTAATAAAAAGTCCATTTTGTTGATCTCTGTCCAACACGCAATGCACCGGGAAAAAAAATATTTTTTTGCCCTAAAAATACACCTAGGCGCCATCTCACTTGGCTTAGGGCATGCCCTAAGCACATAGGCGCCAAGTGAGATGGCGCCTCCCTTAAAAATATAGGTGCATGCGCCATTTCAGATGGCTCCTCCTTTGGGGAATCATCTGAAACATGGTTATTTGCGTATTTTTTCCGAAACGCGATTATTTGCGAAATATTATTTTAATACTTGGTTATTAATAAAAAAAAATCTTCATCCTCATCTCCTCCCCTCGTGCAATTCCGGCCACCAAGGAACGTCGTCCTCAATCTCGACATCCCCTTTCCATTTCACAGAAAGAACTTCAATAGGTATGGTTTCCCTCTCTTTCCCAAATCTTCCATAATCATGTATTTTCATGCATTTAAAAGAGCAAGGTTGATTAACAGGAAAAAAAATAACAAGACAAAAAACAATGAAATCGTTTAAGCTTTAATAAGAACAAAATCTCACCTTTTCAAGAAGATCTTTAGAAACTCGATTAGGGAGGCGAGAGATGCGGCGTTCTGGCAACAAAGAGTTGGGGGGAAGATCAGATGAACCAAATTCGTTACTTTTAGGTTTAAATCAGAAACTAGGGTTTCAGAAAAACGCAAATCATGGTGAGATAGTTCAGAGATGAAAAGATGAACAGAGATGGATGAAGAAGATGAGAGCGGCGCCGCTGTGAACAGACAAGTGTTTCAAACCCTAATTTCGTTTGCCTCCCTTAATCAACATCTAAATGCACTTAAGAGACTTGGGATTTGTTTTATTCATAATTTCCCTTAAGCCCATTTGTTTTACTGGATCCACCCCCCCCCCCCCCTCCCCCTATGCCTGTTTTTAGTATTACAGCAAAGAACTATTTTCTTTGGGCCTTCTCCCAAATCTTCCAATAAGCCCACTGCGTTTTATTAAGTTTAATTTGTTTTATTTTACATCCTTTTATATATACAAATACTAATAAAACATGAATTATTTTATTAGTTTGATTTAGGTTTTTGAAAATAATTTTCATCATTTTATTTTTTTAATAAATTTTTGTTTTAGATTTAATTGATATAATAAAACACCAACAAACAAAAAATAATAATAAGACTTAATTTTGTCATTTATTTAATTTATTTTTTCATTTACATAATTAATAAAAATACAAAAAGGTAAAGATTTTAATTTAATCAATTATTTTTATTTTTTTTTAGAATAGGTTTTATCTTTCTCTTTTCAAGTAAATACTTAGCATTTCACATTTTGCTAGCTTTATTTTCATGGATTATCATAGCTTTATATAAATCGCATAAAATTCGATTTGGTTGTATTGTTTGATATTTCTATCTCATTTGATTCATCCCCATTTGTAAAAAAATTGTACCCCCATTCCCGAATATTTTGTAATAGCGTAGAATTTCAATTCCCGCAATTTACTGTTTTCCATATACTGTATAGTAATTAGGCGTGTATGGAAAGATTCAAAAATCAATCGTTAGATGACCTAATCAAAGAATGAAATAACTTAAAACCAACACAATTTTTCACACGAGCAACTCTAGGGTAACCTCACTCGTTGCCTCGGAAATACAATCATGTCTCTCGAATATGGGACGCTTTAGCAATGACTCTTCGATAAAAAATATCTTAGCCCCTCGATGACCCTCGATGTTGCCTTCGATTAAAACGATCTTGTCCCTTACAAAAATTGCTAAAGAGTCTCCTAAGTTGCTTTCAATGATTGTGAAATTGACCCGCGTCTGTCCCTTCACATCCAATGGTGGGGCTTCTTACCAAATCAATGGTAAGATAGCACCATTAAAAGGAGGAAGAAAAGAACAATTTAAGACCTTTCGAGTAGATAGATTCGCTCTTAGTTACTCACTTGCTCACATAAAAACTCTTTACACTTACACTCTTATTCCAAAACATTTTCAAAAAAAGACAAAACATTTTGTATACGTTCTTATAGAGACGAGAACAATTGCAAAACCTCTTTTCAAAACACTTTCCGAAACACAATTCACAAACACATCTTTGAAACACTTTTTTCGAAACAAAACTTTGTATACATTCTTATAGAGACGAGAACCATTACAAGGAGATTTTTCAAAATACTTTCAAAGCCCACACCACAAGCACACTATCAAATGAAAGCAAGTGATTTAAACAAGTAACTAAGAGCCCATGGAAAACCATGGATGAAAAGGGTGCTAATACCTTCCCTTTTCATAATCTACCCCCCGAACCCGAGAAATAATCTCGAAAGGTCTTTCCTGTGCTTTTTTACCTTTCCTTTTGGATAAAAGAAAAGTCGATGGCGACTGTTGCTAACCGCACAAGTGTGATCGAAACGCAAAACATCAAGTCAGTTCTCCCACCGTATCACATCGCCCTTCCGAGTTTTTAACTTGTCGAGTGTACAGATTTTTTTTATCCCTACTTTTTGCCCAAACCTTTTTGGTTCACTGGGATGCTCTTGTTTTTCCTAGGTGTGTCAACCTAGCGGGTCTCTTATGCGTAGTATCTTTTGACTATGTCTGCGTTTGCAGGGTGCGTTAGGTCGTCACCATCCATGGTGGTCAATATCATTGCGCCACCAGAGAAT